ATGAAAAGTCACTTGCAAAAGCTTCCCCCAATGGCAGCAAATTTGAGACGCGACGACGACGACACGACGACGAGAGACGACGACAAACGACGAGAGACGACGAGACGACGCAAGCCATGCAAACACAGCTCCAACGCCCAGACCCCCAACTATAAACGGGAACCCTTCGCTACGCATTCGGGAAAAATATTTGGCTCACATACCCACACCCTGAAATAATTTGCACAAGGGGTAGTCACGATTCACTGCACCTATCACAAAAACAGAGCGCCTCAAAGATCACCACCATGTCCAAAGCACGGCGCCTGCCACGAAATCTGCATTTCGAAGTATAACCGCTCCGACCGAAAAGTCGACTTTGGACCACCAAAGCCGGTCGGCTTTGTGACCTTGCGCCTGCCGCGAAAAGTGACCACCGTGTCCGAAAATGCGCGCAGCGCCGCAACGAGAGAGCAGTCGCGACAAGCACAAGCACCCGCTGCGGACACCGAGATTTTGTGGGCCTCCCCAGTTGAAATGCACTTCGAGGATTTTGAGAGGCATGAGTGTACTGTATATTGCAACGAATTAGCCGGACGCCCCGGTGCGACACCTCGAATCTAACACCGGTGCTTAACTACTACCGTAAGAACCCCTAGTGTGTCCACACTGTTTGGGAAAAATAGACATGTAGGAAGGACACGGTCCGGAGATCCACTGATACTCGTACCGCTGGTGCCCTGCGTATCGTTCCTTTCCAGGCGCCGGCCCTGACACATGTCACATTGGCACATTTTCAATCATGACATGAGTTCAACTATATATGTTCTTTTTTTGGTGGAAGCTGGCAGTACACCCGGTACCTTTGGGTATCTTAGAAGTCTCGTTCGAGGCGATGGTGAGCTGTTTTCTAGATGTCCTCTAGGAGTCATAGGCCATAAGTCTGCCAGTCTGCTGTTCTGTTGACATGCCCAATGCTCCCTGCTCTGGTGCCCCACAGCGAGTGGTCGGCTCATGAGTTTGCAATGTTATTTCGTACACATTATGTTTGAATGAGTCGAACACACACAAAATCTACTCTACATTCAGTTAAACTAGACGATATATATATATATATAGATATATATAGACAAAGCGAGCTCATACTCCTGTCAGACTCTTCAAACGCGTAAGGGATGCCTCGCTGTTAGCCAATGCTCGAGAATCGGAGGAAGGACTCTCCTCAATCCAATCAATTCATTGACTCCGCCAGTCAGCTTGAACGCGTTGGCACAGTCTGTCGGATACATTAGTGTTCTCATTGTTACGTTGCTTCTTTCGAACTTCTTCCTCCTTCTTCACTCCTCTTGGTTTTGCTGTCTTTGCTTTCTTGGTCTTCTCTTGTGTATTTCTTTACTGTATGCTTTTCACTTCATCCAAGTTTCTCTTGCTCGGTACCTGCGCCTGGGTGGTGTCACAGTGATGCTTTCGTCTGGGGCAGCCGCAGGTGAGGATCTGCGCGGCAAGACCGTAGCGTGGCCGTAACATGTGTCTTCGTGTCCCTTAGCCTAGTTATGGCATCCATCGCCTATCAAACGCCACTCCGGGACACAACTGATCAACATTGCTAAGTGACACACTGAGAACCCATGAGCACCCCAAAAGTCATTCTTTCACAAAAATCAGCTGAAGGCAGAAAGCTCCAATTAGCAAGTTGAGTCAAGTCAACCCATGGCCTGGTCTGCTCCCGCTCCGGTGTGCGAAACCTAAAGGATGAAAGAAGGCTCTTGGTCTGCAGCTGCAAGATGTTTGAGCGAGATTGAAAGAAGATTCTGAGGTCAGAGCTCATCATCCACAAAACAGGCTTCAGCTGGCCGCTTCCGCCTGTAGCAAGCTCCACCAGAACACGAGGCTCAGAGTTTCTCGCCAAGGCTCAGACCCGGGTGGAGTTCCAAAGCCCAAAGCTAGTCCTAGAAAGTGACGTGAAGATGAAATTGCTGATATAGAAGACGAATTAACATGATTCCAAAAGCAACCAAGTGGAAACACTCTTGATCACGACGTAGTAAGTCAGCATGCCGTGAAAACTAGTGGTTTGCCAAATTAGGTTCTCTGGGCAACTGGCCAGCGCGACCAGACCTCTGTCAAGGCAACAGCATGTGGCACAAGATTCTCAAAGCATTCAAGTGAAGACCAGATATCTTTTGTAAATAGGTGTTCAATTTAGGAGCACCTTGTTACCTTGTTGCACTCACCAGGTCTTTCGAATACATTCAGACCAAAGTCACGAAGGCAGCCATTGGTTAGTTATATGATTACATAAGGCGTCTTAATGTTTCGCATTTAGGTAAAAAACACTGTACAAGACTCTGCTCTAAGAGAGAGACCTTCCGAGGCTCGAAGAACTTGGATCACTAAAACCCAGTCCGACTCGCCTCAGGTTGGCGAAACTACGTGCAACACTTGCGCGGTTTCCAAAGGTAAACTCCGCCACTGCGACTTGGCCTGGTGTCTCTCCACTTCAAAGCCTCACAAATCAGAGTTACGCGCTTTTTCATATTCACATTCTTTGTGCAATAATTGAGACGTCCTGTCGCCTTCCCCAATGTCATGTGCTCAAGAACCTCTTGGGTAGTGACAGGGTTTGGCTGACTTTGGGCCTCAAAATGGTGCGCACACAGACGTGCAACTGCAAAACAACTGATGGTGGAGTCAAATGACAGGACCCGAGGCCTGTCCTACTTATTCACCTTACCAACTCGACTATGCAATCTGTCTGATGATTGCCACCCCCGGTAACGGGTGTCATGTGGTGTCATGTTGGAAGAACAACGCTTTGCTTGATCAAGCAGTGTCGGACAACTGTAAAGTGCATGGGGTGTATGAGTTCCTGGCTGGATTGGCCTCGCCCGCAGCCTTCTTGGATGGCCTTCATCAGTCGCAGCTCCCGGGAAAGTGTTCAAGTGCCCACAAGTCTCAGGCGGCATTTCGTTCTCTTGCATTGTTCCTGATAGACCTGGTCAATGGTCAACAACAGCAGCTAGGCATCAACATTACGCTTGGGTTCTGATGCCCATCTGCCTCTAGGTCGTGCTTCTCGCACAGGCCGCGGTATTGCGGCACCATGTTGCCTCACAGGTCCATGTTGCTCCATTCCCAATTTGCATGTGCTTCCATACATTCTTTCCGCGATCCTGTTTTCCGCGATCTCCGCTGCTTGGAGCGGGAATGGTCCGGCATCAGAACGCCCTTCAAAGACTCCATCCATTCTCACCCCGAATGGCATAACTCTTGCAGGTCAAGCGCAAGATGCGGCCTACTTCCCTCCACAAACCCATGATGGGGGTGGCTGCCAAGCTTCCCAGCAAGGTTGTAGTTCCGCAAGGCACGCTACACAGTTGAAGCCAGAACAGGCAGCTAGCGCCAGCGTCTGGTGGATGAACAGCGGTGGCTTGTCCCTTTTCTTGCCCGCTCTCTCTGACCTGCCCGGTGAAGTGGTTCTTGCGAGGGGCGATCCTTAAGTACTTGGCATCTTGAAGGCCAGCTCATCAGCCTCACAGACAACGACTCCATTGCCACTTTGTGGAAATCTTGCGTCGCGCACTTCAAAGACCAGCCTTGAGGTGGGATGTATCAGCTGTTTGGAGGAGAAGTGCCAAGGGCTGATCTTCAACTGCTGCTCCATGATGTGCCCTTTCTTGGGCCGAAAAGAGCGCGCGAGGCTTCACCCCCCCATGAGAAACATAGTGGGCAACAATTCTAAGACCGCAAGCCTAGGGTCCTCGCTGGCAGTGAGACGTTCATTGGCTTCAACACACCCTGTTCAAGGGAACAGCGAAGATCTTTCGTGAGATGCTCAGCCAACCTTGAAGATCCAGATCTTGCCGCTTTCCACTCATATCAAGGACAGCGCCCAAGTTTCCGGCACAGATGCTCCGCGATAAGGCCCTCCTCAGGTGGGGCTGCTCCCTCCCACCGCATCTCTCTAACGAACTCAGTAGTTGCCGCGCTGCCAGGGACGCCAGCGCAATTGGCCAGGCCAACAGTTTCAGACACGCTGTGAGTTGCAGCTCCTTGGCTGCGTTTTTCACTTTCTCCGTTCTCCATCAGGTCGCCCAGGCCTGGCGCAGCGTGGTACTCAATCTCAAAGGGCCTGTGTGCAGGGAGCTGGATCGATCTTGGCGCAGTACAAAAGGAGTTCAACATGTTCTACTGACTATTATTGCTTCCAAAGCATGTCCAAGAGGACTTTTGAAGCCTTCAAAGGTGACAGCCAAAACCGCTTTGCCGATAAGGCCACGGACAGAGCGCAAGCAAAGTGCATCGCTTGCAGCCGAGCCTACGGGTGGCAGGCTGCCAGCCCACCAGGAGATGACCGGGCCACCCTTCTTTGTGACTGGCTCTGTTCTAAAACCAGGCTAGTTGTGGATTTGGCGCGCTGCGCGTGTGGAGGGTGGAGTGGCTTGAAGAGGATTCAGGATGCCGAAATGAGACTTCCGTGATGTAAGCCGCCAAGACAAAATCCATGATGAAGAAATTGCGGCCGCCACGATCGAAGGCCATAATCCTACGGCTGGAAACGACGTGAGACAACTTCAAGGCACATTGCTGGGCAGCAAATGGGATGACGGCCCCGCCCAAGCTAGAATTAGAACAATCTGATTCCGAACTGAATTATGAAGAGCAGGCAGAGGCCGTGGATACAAACCGCAATCCGCAATCCGGCGCAAACTTGGTAAAAGCCTGGTCCTCTTCTTTCTCTGGGCGTTATCGTCCAGCCGTCTCACTGCAAAGGCAATCGTCGACAACAGATTTGGTGTGAGGAGCGCTTGTACCCGTATGGTGTCGGGCGTGATGAGGACAAAAGAAATAAGTTTCTCGTCGGTCCAGGAAGATGTTGACATCAGGTCGAAAACTCTCAGTGGCTGACGGCGTGTCGCCTGTTGCGCACTGTTAGGTCGCAGGAGCGGCCGGCCCAGGCTCAGACTCACCGGTTGAAACGGGAGGAATGCGGGGCAAGAGCGCTGGGTCAGGGATCTATAGGCTCTGCCACGTCGTTTGGAGTCCAGTCCATGGCTAATAAAAATAAAAAAGTAACAGTAAACATCATCATCGTCATCGTCATCGTCATCGTCATCATCATCATCACCATCATCATCATCATCATCACGTCGGAGTAGCGATCGACGACGCTTCTCGCCAACATCTGCTTGCGCAATGGCAGTGCAGGCAGCAGCCCGCCTGAAGAGCGTGTCCTCAAAGGGTTCATTGAGGTGAGTTGGGTATAGCATGGTGCCAGGAAGAGAGGGCTGATATCCAAGCAACCAGTGAAGGGCAGTAGCTGGAGACAGTATAGGCTGCGCGTTGGTACGCCAAAGCTGAGCGAATGCCATTGGCGCCGAAGAGCTTGAGGTCTTCCATGTTGATGAGTTGATCTCCATGGCTTCAAAGCAAAGCACGACTTGCTGTCCGCGGCTGCAATGATGAAGACGCCCTGCAAGGCATGGGGCCACGGCGTCGAAATTGGCTTGATCGCTCCTCTTGAGCGTTAGCACTTCGCAGTGGGCAGCGCTGGCTTTGTTCGCCTGTGCCTGGCGATCCTCGGCGCTGCTTTCGCAAGCCGGCCTACGCACACGCGCCAAGGCGTAGCTGGTCGCTGTGCGCTGCTGAACCGACCTTGGTTGGCATTGGCAGCAACATGTTCTGGATCTACGCGCCTTCACGCTCTTTGAGCCTGCCGCCTCTGAAACTGCAATGCCAGCCTCGTGCGACTGTGCGTGATCCTGCGCGTTGGCGACCTACTTGGCGGTGGAAACCAGACAGGCCGTCAGAAGTTGAGTTTACCTTGGGAACCCAGCCAAGAGGCCTACGGGCCTGCGTGGCAAACCGCCAGCCGAGGACAACATGAAGGAGCACGTTCCCAACTCCGAGCCGGTTCCACCAAGCTTGGCCACTTGGATGCAAAAATGCGAGAATCTTTGCGCCGTCTACGAAGCTAATCAGCTTCTCAAGTTCGCGATTCGCCAAGCTCAACTCCGCCGTGCAGCTGACCAACAAACCCCTGGAGCTCAACACCTTGGACGATGTCCATGCGATCATCATCTTCGATGCAGGCTTGTCCTCTCAAAGAGGATATTTAATGTATATACTTGGCGCAACCGCGCGCCGCGTGGTGGCTCTTTAAATGCAACGACTCGCAAGAAGCAGTTTGTCACGAGAAGGTCAGGCATGTGGACAAAGTTTGTTGGCGCTGTCTACTACATCCCGCTAAGCTTCGAGATGTCATGGACCTGCTGCGTTCTTTGTCGCCAAGCTTGCCAAAGCGCTTTACGACGCCCAGGGTGGAAGTACTCCCGGCACTGTTGACAGGCGCCACACACAGTTGCAACGGCAACTACAAAGCCTGGCGGAGCCCTCAAGTGAGGATCGGCAATACGCCGATGGTTTCGCAATGTCTCAGAAAACCAGGACCTTGCTTGCCGAGTGACTTCGGACCTACAAGACCGCAAAGAAGAAGAATGCTGATGAAAGAGAGCTCAGCCGGACCGAGCTTGCTGAGCCCGAAGCATTAGAGGCCATCAACCACAACCACCAACCGCACTACACCACCTCGCTCAAACTCAGACTACAGCACGCAGAGACGATCCTGGAGATGGATGATGACTTTGAGGAGATTGATGCCACCAACAACACGCCGATCAAGCCCTACGCCAAATGCTGTCTTGGCGCAGGTCCATGTAGCGACTGTTGCGCGCGACGCGAACCCACGGTGGAGGACAAACACCACAAGGACAACTGGTTGCCCATGGCGCGACTGATCGCCCTTGCTTTGAGCCTTTAGCTTCCAGCGCAAGGTTCCTCTCTCTTCTTGGGTGGGGCTGGCGGTCTTTTTGCTTAGATAAAGCACAGCGCCTCACCACGGGAGGAGGATCATTGGAACACGCGATTAGGATCATTTTGTTTCCGCACGGGTTTGTTTTTTCCTCCTAACCGGTGGACTTCGTCTGTTTCTGATTTTTCGAGAGGTTTTGGGGGCTCTCCCTATTTGGTATATGCCCGCATTGAGTTCAGCCCGTTTAGGATCAGTTTGGAACACAGACAGCATCCGCAAGGTCTTCCTCTCAAGAAACACTCCACTGATAGAAAAGCTGGGGCAGGGGTGAGGGGTGTCGGATGTCGCAGGTTTCGCGGCGTGCAAGAAGCTGGACAGGTTGCATGTTTCGTGGCGCGGGTTGCTACATTGGGATGGCTCCTTCCTCCCCTAAATTTTACCCTCGGGTGGGTCACAAAAGGTATGCTATGTGGACGGGCTCTTTCATTGTGTAAATTTAACCCTCGGATGGCTCACAAAAGGTATGCTACGTTGGTGATTATAAGTCACAAAAGGTATGCTATGTTTGGAATGGCTCCCTCAAGGTCCAAGTTTTACCCTCCGGCGGCCCACAAAAGGCATCCTACGTTGAAATGGCTCCGTAACACTCTAAATTTTACCCTCAGGTGGGTGACAATAGGTATGCGACATTGAAAAAGCTCCTTCCTTTGTTCACATTTTCCCTCGGGTGGCTCAAAAAAGGTATGCTGCGTTGACTCGAAGAAACAACACAAACACATCACAAAAAAGTGAGACTTAAACAAAAGCAAGCGCCCAAAAGCGAGACACCATAAAACAAACAAAATAGAAGCCAACAAATAGACGCATGGGCACCACAAGAAACAACACCGACCCGGAGCCCGAGAATACGAAGCAACGCATTCCTGAAAAACCACAACTCAAACGGCCAAGACAGACAACCAAATGACCGACGCAGGAACAAAAAGAATAGATCTAGACTTAAACAAGATGGAGCCCACGAACCCGAATGCAAATACATACGTCAATCCACTGTGTATAGAAAGAGACACAGCCGGTCAGAATCTCTTTTTCACGCTCCGGCACGCTGTTGGACATCATGCGCTGGGGACTCCACCACCAAGGCAGCATGCGCTGGGGACTTCACCACCAAGCTCCGTCTTCATCGTGAAGGATCTTTGTTTTGCGTTCAAATCAAACACTGGCGTAAAGGTTCTGGCAGATCCGCGGCACGAAAGAAACAATGGCATTGTCCCAAAATCTCGAAAATAAGCACTTGAA